CTTTCCACTTCTCCGTCTGCTTCATTGATAGTAACTGTTAAATTTGCTCCTTTCAGGAGTTTTCTATGTGGGGAAGATATCTCAAAAGCAATCTGCACTATCCAAGTCCCCATGGTTTGGAGAGCTAAGTCTTTCATAACGCTAAACTGCCATCTGTAGAATTATGCTTGGGACAGATTTACCTTGCTTTTTAAATTCCTTTGAGTCTCCCTTAAATACTAATTCCTGATGGATTCCCCTTATGGATGAAGAAAGCGCTCATGTTCTATGAAATCCTTACCCTTCATGGGGGACTCCTCCATCTCTCTGCATCCATTTTGCTGCTCTTGTGGGTTTCTTAAGTTGTTTTGGTTTGGGTTTTTTTGGTTTTTGTTTTATTTTCTTCTAGGTTGCAGATCATCCTTTGGTTTGTCATTGGTCTCGTGACCAGCAAGATCCTGGCAATAATGATCCTAGTGTTCCTCACGAGGGGGTGGATGAGGAACTGCACAGTGAAGGCATCTAAATGATAGTAAGTCACAAAATCACAGTGCGAAAGAACAAGTCATCTCTACGAGGGGAACCACCTGCCTGGTGGGGATGCAAGTCCTGTGGGCTTTTAGCCAAAACCAGAGCAAGTCACTTCTCACCAAAGCCTTTCCAGTGGGGCAAGCTCGCGTAATTGAGTCCCGTTCAGAGAAGCAATGAAATAGAGTGAGACCGGACACAGACACCAACAGACACACTGAGACGCTGCCCCTGAGCACAGTGATAAGAAAAGGAGAAGGAAGAGAGAGGTGAAGAGCCTTGGGGAAAAAAGCCTGTGCTATACAGAGGCAGGTTTCCCCTCTTTTTCCCTATGTCACTTGCTTTTCTCACAAGCTTTTTTTCCCCACAAGCAGCTCCTGCCACTACACCGCTCTTGGCTGGCAGTGCTGACGCAGCACATCACTTTCTACCCCGAGGTAGTTGAAATCCCACACAGTCTAAAAGCAGGCAGGGTATTAGCTTCTCTCCCTCTGTGGCTCAGCACCAACCACTCTGGGGTGAATTTCCCTCCTGGTCTTACTCACAAGGAAACATTTTGCTTAAGAGAAGAAACCTCCCCCGCAGCCCAAGTATCTCCAAACATATAAAGCCTCCCTTTCACAAGGCTCAGGGGGCCGTCTGTATGACCAGGCGATCTGTCCCCAGTCCCTGCAAGTTCCTAGAATTCTGCAAGGCACAGGAAGCGTTTACCCCCGTGAGGAAACACTAGCCGCCTTTTCCCCTTGCTGGACTGAAGTACGAACACATCCGGGCTAACAGACGTTTCATGAAAGGCTCTTCCCTCTTCCCGTCCAGGGCAGGAGATACCAGGCGAGGAGCAGGCTCCGAGAAGAGCTCACGTGACACCCTGTGCCAAAGGCAGCTCTGTGCCCCAGGTCGAAGAAGTCTGTTCCAGCAAGCCAGAGCACAAGCTGCCACCCGCCGCCACCTTGCCAGCCTCACCTGAGGCCAGCCCTTAGCTATCTTCCCGCGTGCAATACAGCAAAGTCAAAAGGGACCTCGAGAGAGGGAAGGAACAGCTTCCTATTGCCTCAGTTAATGCTCTCTTTCTTCCTCCTCTTTCTGCTCTTCCCACCTCCAGCCCAGCCGGCAGCCTCACCTCCTCCTCTCCTTTTGACCAGCAGAGCAGAGGGGCAGGCTGGAGGAGCCCGTGGCCACCATCCGCTGCCGGGAGCTGCCCTCGCAGCCTGGCTGGGCTCTGCCACCAGCACTCCTGTATTGCCAAGGCCCACCTGGGAGCAGCCCCGCCAGTGCAACAGAGCAGGGTCTCAGCCCGCAGCACCCGCACTTCCCACGGAGACCAGCAAACCCTCTCGGCTTCCCCACGGGCCCCTGCACCAGGGCTCTGCGAGGCTGCCCCACGGTAAATAAAACGTGCAAAAGCCAAGCGGCTCTGCTCTGGTTTCTCCAGCTGGGCAGTCCGGGGGTAGGCACCGCCAGGGCTCTGTGCATGGCAGAGCACAGGGCTCAAGGGGCCTGGCTGGCGGTGGGGTGGGGTGGGGGAGATCGGGGATCACAAACGGCACAGCCCGCGGGAGGGTCCGTGCAGACGCAGCCCTGGACGCACTGACCCCGGCTTTGGGGGGGGGTTCCAGCGAGGGGCCGGGTACAGGACACCTTGGGAGCCCAGTGATACAGAATGTAAGACCTATACTTTTGCATCAAAAGTTCGGCCTGTGACTTGAACTCTCAGTGGAGAGAAACTGCGGACTTGCTTAAGATTCTTTGAAGCGGTATCGCTGTACTGTAAGATTAACAAACCTTGAACGAGTTCGTTAAGAACCAGCAAACACCAAGTTTAGAGGAACTAGGAGCACCATCACCCAAGATAAGTGCAGAGAAACCACTTAGGACTAGCACGTCTTGTAGCAAAGCTGTGATAAGCTGCTCAGTGAGCCAACTCATGACTACGTATGGGAACAGGATCTGGACGGAGGTCATGGAAAGGACACTGGAAGACCCCTCTACAAAGACCCCTAGGGACCCCCAGGGACCACCGACCCAAATCACTGAGCATGCGCACCTGGGGAGAGAATATGTAAATCAGTTACGGGAATTCATTATCCTAAGACCAACTTTCCCAAGAAATATGGTGAATACGTATATTTCTGTCCTACATAAATTGCATGTCTTTGGTTGCGTGGTATGCATGTTAGGCGGAAGTATCCCCCCCTGCATCCGGCGCCGTAAATGAAGAATGCCTGCTTTCTAAAGCTCCAAAATAAGTCTTATAGAGTTCTTGCTTTCAAAAGTTAAAAGTCCTAAAGTTTTAAAAAGTTCTTGCTTTTTAAACTGGCTTTTATGGTAACACCAGAAGAAGGGCTAGGCCAAGGCAAAGGTCCTGCTCCATCTCCCACGGCTCGGGACAGCCAAAGCAGTGCCCCGCTGCCACCGGCATGAGGGCAGAGCGTGACAACGGCCAGGCGAGAGCAGCAAAGGGCCTTTGCCATCAGGACGAGCCGAGTTCTGCTCTCGGCCACTTCCCCAAAAGCACCCTGAAATTATCTTAATATCAGTCTCGTTGCAAAACGTGGTGAAGGGTTTCCGTTGGAAAGCAAGACCTCTGGCGCTTCCTCCAGCAGCGTCACTGCGATGCGGGAGGGCTCGCAAGGCAGACACTTTTGAACGGGACGCCTTGGGCAGCCCCCAGCAATGCCCCTTCCCTGGGCTTGAGGACGGCCATGGAGCTGAGAGTCCTCCTCCTGCTGCCGCTCTGCTTCCCAGGTAAGAGAAGGGCTGGGCATGCCTCAGGCTTCCCACGCACCCAGGCGCAGTGGGACCCCTTCCCACCTCCCGCTGCCCGCGGAGATCAACAGTCAGGGGGAATCCAACGCCGGACGGGCTCTGAGCCGGGCAACTTGCGGCGGGGATGGGGAGGGAGGGGGCAGCCCCAATTCCCACCGCCGCACATCTGGCTCCTCCAGGCTCTCAGGCCAAACCACCCTGGGAGCAGAGAGCTGCAGCCTCCAAAGCAGCCCCAGCACCTCCCCCAGTCACCATTTCCCATCGCGCTGCCTAGCCGCGCTCGGCTCCTCCGACTGCAGTCCTGGGTCAGGACAGAGCTGTCCGCGGGCACCCGCCCGCCTCCCCAGCAGCAGCCACAAAGCTTTCAGCAGGTGGTAGGTTGGGTAACCGAGGCAGGACGGTCGCCAGCTCCTTGCTTCCCTCCCCAAAGGCTCGTCCGTCTCTCAGTGCCCGACCGAGTGGGGCCGCGCGTGGACACACACAGGACCCTTTTTTGGCCCCGGCTGCCTGGCACAGACGCGCTCTAGGCAGAGCTGCCCCTAGGCGGGCCTCGCGCCTCTCCCCCACTCTCTTCGTCCCCCCAGCAATGGCCGTCTTTCCTCCAGCTCTTCCCCAGGACCTCTCAGGGCCAATGGATAAACCCTTCAGAGCAGGCACTGCCTATGTGGGGGGGCCGGCACAGCCCTGCACCCAGCACAGCCTCGCGCCCCTGCCTCGCTGGGCACCCTCAGAGGATGCCGCATGGAGGAGCTGCAGGCTGCTGGGGGCAAGCTCAGGCCAGCCACGCGTTGAGCCTTTCACCCCCAGCACACACGCTGCCCTGGCCCCTTCCCTCTGGCCCGGCCCCACATCCCTACAAACGGCCACCCGGCTCCCGAGGGGCGGCTGAGCCCCACCACTGCCAGCCCCTGCGTGGGGAGGGGTCGGTCTCCACTGCGCCCGTGCAAGGGGCGGTAACAATGGGGTGGGCTGCGGGGGCAGCTCCAAACGGTGCGCCACGCACGGCTCCATTTAGGGTTCAAGGTCCAACACCTCTACGCCCACATCTCTGTGGGTTTTCAATCAAAGATACTGGGTTTTAAATCACAGTTGTGGTCCCACCTCAAATCTCAGCACCGCTCACCACAAATCAACCTTCCCATTTCCAAGCAGGTGAATTTAGCGGGGGGAATGGATCTCAGTGCGGAGCTCAAGTGCCCATGGAGGAAGGTCAGAGGCAGAGTTTGCCCACGTCCGGCGGGAGGCTGTGGGCAGCCCTGCGTCAGCTCCCCTCTCCCTCACCACATCTCACATTTACAGGTCTCCAAGCCCAAACACCTGACGCCGAGGAGAGCGGATTCGAAGGAAGCACTCTGTCTATCCAGTGTCCTTACACAGCAGAGACTGATCACCACCAGCAGAAATCCTGGTGGGTCATGAGAGGGGGACGATACAAGCTCTTAGTGGAGACGCCCAAACCAACAGAACACCCATACATAACCCGGGCCACAAATGGGAAAGTTACGATACAGGATGACGCAAGGCATGGGGCCGTGTACATTACCATGACCAACGTCCAGGCAGAGGACTCGGGCACATACTACTGTGCTTACCTTTCCAGTCATGGGTATATTACACTACAGACGATCTCACTGAAAGTTTTCAAGGGTGAGTACCCTTTTCCCCACACAAACCCACGTCCTGTCAGGGAGCAACATCATTCCTTCCCCCGCTCCGTTCCCCCTCACCCACACAGCTGAGCGCTGCCCCGACCCCCACAGCCCCCCA